ACTTTAATAATATGAGTCAACAGGAAGCTTTAAAGAACCAGAGCCCCTTACTGCTAATTATACTGTCATGCTTTTTAAATCGACAAACTCATTAATGCATACTCATTCATTAAAGCTGGACACCGACCACTGATTGTTACTATACTCCAATTTAACAAGAAAACCCATTTGTTGTTATGGAAGCCATTGTATCTATTCTTCATTAATACCCACCTTTATTTAATTCAATTAAGCAATACATAATTATGATGTTTCTTTGAACTTCAGGAGTGCTTTTTTCACCACGGCACTCAGTGAACTGACAGGGAACGGCTCTGTCTCGGATGCAAATGATTTAGTAAATGTAGTGTTGAAAAGATGAGGAAAAACGTTTGATCCAAATACGTAAAACTTTCAGCTTTATGTTGCTACGTGTCTGACAGGACATTAAAGTAACAAATGTAAACTATGCAACTTCATCATGCAGGCTAACAGGATGCCATGTACATCTACTTGAGTGGTGATGATCCACTTAAACACTGAGCCAATGAAAACATGTTTTTTGTGTTTGCAGTCAGAGAGCTACTTCCCCATCTAACAAGTGCCTGTATTAGCCAGCAGTTGCACAACATTTCTGCTCCCTCTCTTTTTCCATTTACAGTAGACAAGTAGCAGAGTGTGCAGACAGAGAATAATGACGTTGAGCGTGCACAACAACTGCTTCCGTAGGAGAGGGCCCTGGGGAGCATTTTTGCAGTATTATGCAGTCAGCCATAACTAAAACATCATTACCACCCAACTCACAGTCTGGTTTAAACGTATGAACGGGAAGCGGAGAAGAGACGTGAGGATTGATGGAGTTAATGACTGTCTTTATTATTAACAAATGTGATGGATTGTTTGTAAAATAACTTATCTAAATCTAATTTCATGCATCCTAAATCAGGAACATCTGCTATGACGAAGATGAAATTGTTTTCTTACCAAGAGTTTAAAAGTGGCTTCAACTAGAAGTTTTGCTGATCTGATAAATGATCAGTAATTAAAACAACAAGACTGTCAGAAATTACATTTATGGTTTAATTGAGATATTTAAAAATCTGTTTAGTAATCTGTTTAGATAAGGAGAGAAGCTCGGTCATCCGGGAGTGGCTCGGAGTAGAGCCGCTGCTCCTCCGCATCAAGAGGAGAGAGTTGAGGTGGCTCGGACATCTGATTAGGATGCATCCTGGACCCCTCCCTGGTGAGGTTTTCTGGGCACTTCCAATTAGTGGGAGACCATAACGGAAGACCTCAGACACACTGGAGGGACAGCTGGCCAGGGAACGCCTTGGGATTCCCCATGAGGAGCTGCTGCCCCCACAACTCGACATCGGATAAGTAGATGGCAATGAATGCATGCTTGTTTTAGGTCACTATTATAAGTTTTAAAAGCCTTCCTCACTAATATTGCATATAATAAGTGAAAAAAATCTGAATGAATTAAACTGAATTAGACAAAGTGAGTCCACACCTGATATTACCTTGAATCCCCAACACTTATGAAATAAACTTGACTGAATTATTTCCCATAATCAGCCACAGAATTTGAATTCAGTATTCGAACTCTTCATTCTAACTGCTTGAGAAGACTAAAAGGTAAGATTCATATTGAGATCTCAGCAATACCAGAGCTCTTAGAGAGCCGCTCATTAACAGTGCTATAAGGCACCCGCTAATGTCATTCCAATAGGCAATTATATTCAAAACTCACCTGCGGCAAAACTTTGTTTTGACATTTATTTTCAATCCAAACTCTGAAATGAAAAGTTGATCAGTTATATGCAGATTTTTAAAAGTTAACTTTTTAGCACCATAATTAATTATTTCTAAAAAAAAGTAATATTTCTGACATTACTTATAATAAATAAATATAAATATAATATTTCCCGGTTGAGTTGTTTATCTTGTCTGGGCAGAACTAAAAAGAATATTTTGAGTAAATATGAATAAAAAAAAGTGTTCCTCATTAGAACGACTGCAAACAAACCAAATGACAACTTAATGAGCAACTTGGATTTATAAATAAAAGAACTGCAGGATTTGACAAATGTTAAGGAGCAGGAAATGACTTGTTACAGACACTCGGTGGATTAGGACAATGACAGCATCTGTGAAAATACACTAAAAACACAGAAAGTCTGAGCAAATGTTTATTGCAATTAGAACAAACTGGGTTAGAAGACTTCTCTAGTGTTAGCTTAAACATTCCAACATGACTAAACACATCATCCCTTACTCAACACCTGCCATAGAGAAAACAACTCTCTCTCTCATCTCTATTCATCTTTTCTGCAATGCTCCATAAATCAAAGAGAAGCAGCTCCCTGCCTTACCCTCCAAAAAATAAGGACAACTCTGACATTAAACCAATAAATCTCCCATTTTATTCATATCTTGACTGTATTTTACTTCTTCAGCTTGAAGGAGAAAAGCCTGCCTTCATCAGAATGTGACGCTATATAAATATATAAAAATGGTGATGATTAAATAGACATTTCTTTTACTGTCTTTATGGCCTTTTTTAACTAAGCTAAATAATTGTTTTTATCTTTGCATGTTTAGAAAGCACACTGAAGGGAAAAAAAAACACTCGTGCAAGCAGAAACACCTCCATTTGATGCAGCACATATCTCTCCCAGGCAGTAATCCGGTCGTGTAGTGAAGGCTGTAAATCAGCACCTTGGACAGCACTCAGCAGCCCTACGTGTGTGTGTGTGTGTGTGTGTGTGTGTGTGTGTGTGTGTGTGTGTGTGTGTGTGTGTGTGTGTGTGTCTGTGTGTGAGGGGGTGGGGGTGGGGAGCAGCTTGGGAGCAGCTTTCAGCACCACGGGACAGCGGACAGCGACAACATCTGACATTCCTACTCACTGGAGCTGCCCTGCATAGTGCTGATGACTAAAGAGAGTTATTCAGGTTGTTGCACAGCTGGCTTAGCAGTGCTGTGATTCAGATGAGAGGGACAAAGGCTGGTGTGTGTGTGCATGCGTGTGTGAACGAGGTCCTATTCTGAGATATGCTGCTGCTGCAGTGTGACAAAAAGAGAGGAACAGGGAGAGACTGACAGGGAGGTAACTGAGATTGAGAGACGTGTTGAAAAGAGGCGGCGTGGGACACTCATTTAGCCTTTCAAAGGTCCCAACATGGCTTACTGCACACTCACACATGGGTTATGCCAATGCACTGGACCAGAATACAATTCAAAGGGACAAGCTGACGAACTAGACTTTCTGACATCTATTTATAGCCACAGAGGTGATGAGCTAGAATCATATAAGCACACTCGCACTTCTCATCACGCTAGCATGTGCAAAATACAAACTTGTGTCATCTTCAAAATACCATCAAGCACACACCTGGATCCCTGCAGTGATAGAAAATTCAATAATTTCTGAGAGCAAGAGGCAAATAAACAACAATGCTCAACCAACCTCAGAGTGATGTGGTGGCTTCACAGTAACCCAGCAAGAATCCCCTCTGAAACAACCCATTACCGTCCATAGTTATTAGCAAATCATTTAAATTCTTGTTTAAGAAAGAAAGAAAGAAAGAAAGAAAGAAAGAAAGAAAGAAAGAAAGAAAGAAAGAAAGAAAGAAAGAAAGAAAGAAAGAAAGAAAGAAAGAAAGAAAGAAAGAAAGAAAGAAAGAAAGAAAGAAAGAAAGAAAGGAATAGATGCCTGCATTAAGTTAAATATGTATGTTCCCACCACTGGTCTATTTTTATCATTAATCCCTCACAGGTAGAGAAAGCAGCATAGTGACTGTTCAGTCATCTGCAACCTGTTTCTGTGCATTCCTTGGAGCTTAGGCCTGACAACAACTTGAAGGTTTGTGCATAATTAAGAGCAGGACAGATGAAGAAATGGGAATGAAGCTAAGACGAGTTTGGAGAGCAGGTAAGAGACATACGTGATATGTTAAAGGTGGAGCTTTCTGCTCTGACACATCTTATTTTTGATCTGAATGAGGAAACAACATAGAAACTACCACGCGTTACCAGCTACACTACATTTGTGATTCGATGCAAATCTGTACTATGCAGGCACTTCCAATGTTAATGCTAACCAAAACCTGAGAAGATGTGACAGCATGACACAGCTGTCAACACAAACCAGCAGCCAACAGGTTCTGTCCTGAAAGCCTGCAGAGACAGAGGAGCGGCTGGAGTGAAGGGGATTGGTTGAAGGGCTGATTTTGACAGCTGGGGACGATGGGAGTAGCAGCAGTGGTCATTTGGTATCAGTATTTGTGAGTGGCTGTTTTTTTTGTGTGTGTGTGTGTGTGTGTGTGTGTGTGTGTGTGTGTGTGTGTGTGTGTTCATGTGTAAATGCCCATACAGTCTGTCCAAAGATTGCCATATGTAGTGGGAATATTAGTCACCATGAAGAACGAACAGTTGATTGGATGGCCGGGCAATTTAATGTCCAGCACATTTTTTTTTCTGCATGAATGTGCATGTGTGTGTGTGTTAGTGAGATTGTTGTGCACATACTGGACAAAGCTCTCATGCTCACAATCCATCGTATGAAGTGAGCACATTACTATTCCTGTCACAACAGCCTTGCAGTAGGAGCAGCAGCAGTGGAGGCAAGCAGACCAACCACTGTACAGTTGAACACACACGCACACACACACACACACACACACACACACACACACACACACACACACACACACACACACACACACACACACACACGCACACACACACACACACACACACACACACACACACACACACACACACACACGCACACACACACACACACACACACACACACACACACACACACACACCACATATCCGGACTGCGAAGCGCTGGTGTGTGTGTGTGTGTGTTACATGTATTTACTCTCCCTCCATGCTGTTGCGTCGGCTGAGCACCACTCTCCCTGCATGTCATGCATCACCATGTGAACAGTCCTATTTATGCATTTCTTCTGATTTGTTCAAGTGACCACATGACACATCCCATCACTCACCCTGGCTCTGCACGCCCCCGTCCCCCTCCTCTGTGTCGGTCAGGTTGTTAAGCATCCTGGCTTCTCTACGGTACTCTTCTTCTGTTGCGGAGCGATGTCACAGATCGAGAGCTCGGCTGCTCTCCCTGCGTTCCGCGCACTGTGATGCAGCCACAGAAATTGCAGGAAAGAGCTCAGAAAGAAAAAAAAAAGCTAGCCGGATCCTCCTCACTCCACTTTGCTCCTTGCTGCCTGTAGGATGCAATGGAGAGAGGCAGCAGAAGAGAGAGTGGGATTTTTTCCCCCCCTACGTAGATCCTCCTCTTGACGTCTCTTCTCCGGCTTGCAAGCGTGACTCTCTCAGTTGCTCTCTCTCTTCAGCAAGAGGAGGAGGAAGAGGAGGAGGAGGAGGGAAAAAGAGAAGCTGCAGGAGTTTGGTGGATGACGGAACGCCTCATAGCTGCACACTTGCTCTCTCTTTTTCCTAATTTTCTTTTCTATGTCCCTTTTTTGCCTGTCTCTCACTCCAAAGCTCACATCCACTCTAAAAACACTCACTCTCCTCTGCTCAGACGCGGCTGCTCAGTTTCATAGCTGCTGAACTGATTGCATATTCAAGCAGTCATGCAATTTTCTCTATACCCTTTTCTGCTTTCCCTTGCTGCCTCTCTATTTTCATTTTCCCTGTCAGACAGAGAAGAAAAAGGAACGAGGTTTGAAAAGCGAGCATGCGGTAGCCTCATCGCTCTGATGTGTTCTGTCTAAAGAGGAGCTTCATGCCTCAGCTTTGCTTTACATCTCCGTAATAAGCAACCACGCTTGCTCGCCACTTTAATGTCAAATGCAAACAGACCTTCTGTTTCTTCTTAGTGTAAACAGGTCATATCATGGATGCATGCAGTTATGATTAAGAGAGAGCAGAGCAATGAGCTCTCTCTCCCACACGGACACTTAGCCTCAGCATTTGGTCTCACACACTTCTTTATCTTAATCCATCCACCTTTACACCATGAAGACACTCTCCAGCTGAGAGGACGTGTGTGTGTGTGTGGTAAGCCGTTGGTGAACCACAGTAAGAACAGCCTCAATTTGATCTATCCAGACTCAGTAGGATTTGGTACACGGTGTACCACGAGCAACAATGTGTGCAGTGTGAAGACGTTGCACGTGTGTGATCTTCGGCGTGCATGCCAGTAGTTGTGACTCCGTGCCAGGGATATGAAAGCAATTAATCTTACTTTTAGTCATGGAAGCGTTGATGCACAGATAGCAACAAAGACAAGTGGGATTAGGACTGTGGAATTGGCTCATGAGAGCAAATCCATTCCCAAAGTCTCAGCCTAAACTGGTTTCGTCAAGGCACAATTAGCTCGATAAAGAGCCAATTCCTTCCAGCTTTGAGCTACATTTCTACACTGGAAGTAGAACATTCATGGAGTTATTTTGATTTACAGATTAGTAGGGATGTGTATTGGTGAAATTCTGGTGATACGATATGTATCACAATACAGGGTAGACGATGCCATACGTCACAATATATTGCAATACATTTCGATGATATTAGCGATTTTTAGACTGAATTTAATTGAAGGAAATTTCAATAAACATTCCAAACTGATACTTAACATGTTTAACATGAGGTATCTGAACCGTAACAGAGGTATTTACATTTCAATGATGAAAACAAAACCCATCGCACACTGCTGCCAACTAGTGGTCGGCGTTTGAATTGTACCAAAAGAAAAGAAAATACACAAATGTTTGCAGGTAATTTCTTCCAAAAATTTGATACACGGCTTTTGAATATCAATATATCACTGGAAAAAACACGATATATTGCCATATCGATGTTTTCGATACACGGCTTTTGAATATCGATATAATATCGCTGGAAAAAAACACGATATATTGCCATATCGATATTTTCTAACATCCCTACAGACTAGAAATTAAATTTAGCTTCATGTGCACTCTCCTCTTCTTTGATCCATGCAAATTTGACTAGGCACCATTTTAGTTTGATTAAAATGTGTGTGCAGTTGTTAAGGTCATTTCATATCCTGCTGTCTGAAGTTCACCTCTCCTCTCGCTCACTTCTAGCTGCTGAGACAGGAGCGCCAGCGATTTATTTACCCACAGAGATCACCTCATAAGGCATTCATTTAGACTAGAAACCACTGCAAATGTAGTGTAACGTCACGTAATGGCCTGGTTTTAAGACTCACAGGTCAGATACACAGCCTGGGTCACCTTACCCTGGCTAAGACTCCAATCTGCAATATAGTCCTTCACAGGAGACTTAAAGTCTGCTACCACTCCTTTAATCTATGCAGCTGCCTGCTTATCTGACTGCTAGTCCATCCAGCAAGAAGAGGACATTTCAAGATTTAAAAGAATCATTTAAATAAACTATCTTTACTGCTAATCATCAAGGTTCATTATAACTGTGTTTAATTACTGAAATGAATTATTATTCTTTGGTTAATAATTATTTATGATAATCAGTAATGTTTAACTATGACACTTAGTCAGCTCACACACGTCACAATAACTAAGATAAGGGAACTGCACTCACATGATCTTTTCCCATAACACCAGAACTTTCTATCTTCAGGAGGCGTGTTTCTGAGGGTTTGTTAAATCTTCCTTCTACATGTCAAAACCTGATTCGTTAGAAATTATAGTAGCCATCTTTTAAAACAGAACTCTCGTCATTTTGCGAGTGAGTTCTAGAGAAGTTGGGACGGCCGCCCACACTCTCTTTAACCAACAAAGCGATTTCTGTCACGCTGGCAGAGTTGCTCCGACACAACAAAACGACACCTGCAGAACAAGCTGATGCTACAAAGAATCTGCAGATGCAAACCAATTCCACCTATGTGCATGCGGCATCTCTAGGACCGGAGAAGTCAGTACCATCGGTCTTCCCTACTGGACCCAGTACCTTGAGGCTGTTCAACATCCTCCTCTGACCTCCGGATCCACGACGAGGGTCTCCTGATGGTGAGGTAGAACACAGATTGCGTCTGAATGCTCTTTAATAAGAACAACTTAGCTTATTGACAAAACCAAATTCCTTCACCACCCAGAACGCATCCTCTCTTTAAGATACACGTTCTGATACATGCATTCACCCGCAAACAAAACACACTTCACCTTAGATTCATCCAAACACAGTGTTGTTTTTAATACCAACGTCTTTATAAATTGTCTTTTATAAATTGTCTTTTAAATTGTCATGTTTAAATTGTTTAGTAATACATTTCTTAACCTTTTTAAACTTGACTAAACACGGAGTGGGTGTATATTGAACACTGAACAAGCAAAGATCTTTAGATCTTCTGAATTAACAAATAACTTTTGCTATTAAATTAAATCTTTAAAAAAACATATATATATATGCATGTAAATTTCATTCGTCAATATGTTTGATCTTCTTAGGAATTAAAATATAAGCTGATAGCAACAGCCTTTCATTCCTAGATACAGGTGCTGGCCAGTAAATTAGAATATCATCAAAAGGTTGAAAATATTTCAGTAATTCCATTCAAAACGTGAAACTTGTACATTATATTCATGCAATGCACACAGACCAATGTATTTCCAATGTTCATTACATTTAAATTTGATATTCATAAGTGACAACTAATGAAAACTCCAAATTTGGTATCTCAAAAAATTAGAATATTCTGAAAAGGCTGAATATAGAAGACACCTGCTGCCACTCTAATCAGCTGATTTACTCAAAACACCTGCAAAGGCCTTTAAAAGGTCCCTCAGTCTTGTTTTGAAGGCACCACAATCATGGGGAAGACTTCTGACTTAACAGCTGTCCAAAAGACAATCATTGACACCTTGCACAAGGAGGGCAAGACACAAAAGGTGATTGCTAAAGAAGCTGGCTGTTCGCAGAGCTCTGTGTCCAAGCACATTAACAGACAGGCGAAGGGACGGAAAAAATGTGGTAGAAAAAAGTGTACAAGCTCTAGGGATAACCGCACCCTGCAGAGAATTGTGACGACAAACCCATTCAAAAATGTGGGGGAGATCCACAAAGAGTGGACTGCAGCTGGAGTCAGCGCTTCAAGAACCACCACGAGGAGACTCATGAAAGACATGGGATTCAGGTGTCGCATTCCGTGTGTCAAGCCACTCTTGAACAAGAAACAGCGCAAGAAGCGTCTCGCCTGGGCCAAGGACAAAAAGGACTGGACTGATGCTGAGTGGTCCAAAGTTATGTTTTCTGATGAAAGCAAGTTCTGCATTTCCTTTGGAAATCAAGGACCCAGAGTCTGGAGGAAGAGCGGAGAAGCACAGAATCCACGTTGCATGAGGTCCAGTGTAAAGTTTCCACCGTCAGTGATGGTGTGGGGTGCCATGTCATCTGCCGGTGTTGGCCCACTCTGTTTCCTGAGGTCCAGGGTCAATGCAGCCGTCTACCAGGAAGTTTTAGAGCACTTCATGCTTCCTGCTGCTGACCAACTTTATGGGGATGCAGACTTCACCTTTCAACAGGACTTGGCACCTGCACACAGTGCCAAAACCACCAGCACCTGGTTCAAGGACCATGGTATCCCTGTCCTTGATTGGCCAGCAAACTCGCCTGACCTTAACCCCATAGAAAATCTATGGGGTATTGTGAAGCGGAGGATGCAATACGCTAGACCCAACAATGCAGAGGAGCTGAAGACGACTATCAGAGCAACCTGGGCTCTCATAACACCTGAGCAGTGCCACAGACTGATCGAGTCCATGCCACGCTGCATTACTGCAGTTATTGAGGCAAAAGGAGCCCCGACTAAGTATTGAGTGCTATACATGCACATTCTTTTCATGTTCATTCTTTTCAGTTGGCCAACATTAGAGAAACAAACATTTTTTCATTGGCCTTTAGAATATTCTAATTTTCTGAGATACCAGATTTGATGTTTTCATTGGTTGTCACCTATAAATATCAAATTTAAATGTAATGAACATTGGAAATACATTGGTCTGTGTGCATTGCATGAATATAATGTACAAGTTTCACGTTTTGAATGGAATTACTGAAATATTTTCAACCTTTTGATGATATTCTAATTTACTGGCCAGCACCTGTATGTAGTTCATTAACCCTACAGTAGTAAAGAACCGAGTGAAGTTGGTCTTGGCCAACCATCCATTTCCTCCACTTATCCAGATTCTGGTTGCAGGGGCAGCAGCCTAAGCAGGGAGGCCCAGACTTCCCTCCCCCCAGCCACTTGAGCAAGCTCATCCGGGGGAATCCCAAAGCGTTCCCTAGCCAGATGAGAAACATAGCCCATCCAGTGTGTCCTGGGTTTTTCTTTGAGCCTCCTCCTGGTTTGACGTGCCCAGAAAACCTCACCAGGGAAAACAACATTTATAAATTGAAATTCATAAGTCCTCATTAATTCATAAACATTTTAAAGGCTTTCGGTATGCAGTACCACTGCTGCAGCTGCGCTGATTTCTGTGTAGGTCTCAATGTCAGCCTGGACAACAAGCATCAACTGTACAAACACAGTTTATGCTCAGTGTCTGATTTTCTTTAAAGGTTGGCTGACTAAACAGAAAATTTCTTTTGCCCCAAACAAGCTGGCGTTAACCAACACGTTGCCAAATCACTGCAATGCTTTTTGATTAAGACGGACACAAGGTGGGCAACGAGCCAGCTGTAAATCGGAGTAAATCTTTGTTCAACATGGTCGAGTATTGCTAC